TGACAGACATAAGTTAGCATGATCTAACAGGCACATATTTCTAAGTAGCCTGAAAAATTATTATTACTTTTGTTTACTACTAAATAATGCATTCACAATGAACGGAATGTATCCAAAGAATAAGTTATTTGATAATGAAAAGATTATTGGATATCAGTCAAGTAAAATAACAAGCTTCCTTATACTAAAAATTCGTCATTTTACATCTGATCCGAGTGTATATCATGTTCACATGCATATCATGATTTAATAATAAAATTATAATAGTCTGGCAATAAAGCACTGTTCATTTATTATATACATACACGTAAGCATGCACAAACAAATCACTTCCGAGTTATAAATTTTCATGTCGAGTTTATTTTGTTGTTTTGATGTAGAATTTTATGCGAAAACAAACGTGACTATGAAAGGACAGACAAACTATTCATTTAGAAGTAATTAAACGTAATAGGTATAATTCAAGAATCATTTCTGGAAACGGTTATAATGAACAATCAGTATTAGATGATAGTTTTATATTAAAATGCATTTTTATGTTCTAATGGATCGATTTTTCGGATTCCTTTTAGCTGAATTCATTTTCTGAATATAGAATGATAGTGAAAGTATTTTGTTTGCCTAAAAGATTACTTCCATTTCATCAATGATCCCTTTTGATCATCGATTGAAAAGTCCAATGATCAAATTTTTGTTGTGCATCTAGTACATAACTGCACCACATTTATCCTTCATACCTGTGGTTGTTCGTTCAAAAGTTTTGTTGCAAAATGAAGCTACTGTGAAGCTACTATAAAGCCCTGTATTTTATTGGTAACATTTTGTTACATATAAGATAACACATACCTTTTAGTCTTTAGACAAACTGGAAACATTTAAATCAATTAATCCATATTATACTGATGTAAAAGTCATAACTCTCAACTCAGTTTATACCTGATGGTTTATCAATAAAAAAGGTCTATCACAAAATTTAAAGCCAGATAATCTTAACTAGGAAGAAAAATAATTTAGAATATGTAGTAGGACTGGTTGTTCAGAATATAATTGTTATGTTATTATTACTAAAGTCTACGTATCTTGATGTTCTGATAAAATATTTCTATTTTAAGTATAATAATGGAAATACTGACAACCTTGCTTATCATAGAGACGGTAAAGTTGGAAGTTATAAGGAGACAATCTAATGAAATGTCAATTACTCACTTTTAGTAACGACGTTTTAAATTTTAGGTGGTTAGCACTTCGTGGATTTTCAATTTATATATCTTAGATTCAAATGTCCCAGCAAACTTCGGTTAGTACAATGGTTTCTTCGACTAACTTTTCCTCATTTATACACTAATTAGTTGGCGATTTCCTTCAAAACTAGCTAGTGTATACAGATAATTTGTAGAAATAGTACTATACATTTTACATAGATTTAGAAGTCACCATCGAATCTGAAATATTCGTAACTGGCGATATCAACACCTTTTCATCATTAATCCAATAAACTCCTTCTGTAACTGTATAACTAATCGACGTTGGATTCTTAACAATTTCGTTATATAGCATAAACTATACTAAACTTGTTTTATTTAATGTGCACGCAATGTATTTTTTTATTCCTACCTAAATATTTATCTAAGTATATATTTGCTAGGTAATTTAGTATTATGGTTTTCACTTGGAGACTATTTTGAAGTCCTTACAAAAAGATTCAATACTTTTATTCATAACACATAACAGGGAATATGCAAATGGTAAACAAAGAAATATTTGATATTGAAAACAATATTAATTAAATACTATTTCCTTTAAAAAGCTTGGACCAGATTGCCAGGCGAAACGTTGGATTTACTTCAAATTCTTTCTCTGAGATTTTACAAATACATTCTTCTTCTTTAATGTCTCACATTAGCTCGAAGCTCAAATACTGTGAAACTATTCGATCAAATTTAGAGGAACGTTCTTATCTAATCTCCAAAGCTTAGAAAAAGGTTATTCTTTTTAGGGAAAAAAACAAACAAAATAGAATCTGTAATCACTGGTTGATAAACTTTTTTTTAAACTGATGAATGTTTTAGACAGAATATTCAGTCTAACTTTTGATGGGGAAATTTAATTGTTTTTTTAAACAATAGGATTATAATTTAAGCTATTAAGACTTCTAACTTACAATTCATAAGTGTTTTCAGGACGTTACACGGATTTATTAAAAAAACAACCGATTTATCCGTTTTATATAATCAATAGAAATCATTTGATCTTTGAAAAAACCGATTAATGCTTAACTAAAAATTATTAATGAATATAATTATTAGAAAATTCTTTTCATGTGTGGCATTTATAATTAATCTTTTATTGACAGATTAATATTGTTTAAAAAGTATATGAAAATAATAATAATAATCTGGAATGGTTTACTTGTTAAGGTTCAATTCTAGGGAAGATTTTCTCTAGACTTATTGTATAATCATTTACCTATTATTAATTATTATTAACATATATGATCGTATATGAACATTTTCTTAAATCATTTATAGATAATGACAGTTTATCTGTTAGTAAGATTTATTGCTGTAATTCAAAGTTATTTATTTGTAATCAAAGCACATTTGATAGAATTGTACAGCATATGTAAATTGATTTTTAAAAAAATACGTTCTAATAACCTATAAAAGTTATGGTTGAATGTAAGGAATTCAATTGGTGGAATATATGGTAGTTATTATGATTTATAAGCTTTAGCAATTGTAATGGTTGTAAATATTTGTATTTTATAAAATTTATTTGAAAAATATGAAATTATTCACTATTTATAATTACTAACTTACTTACATACTTACGCCTGTTACCCCCAAGGGTGCATAGGCCGCCGACCAGTATTCTCAAATGCATTTTCTCAAGGGCCATTCTTTCTAGTTCTATCCAATTGTTTTTCATTCTTCTCATGTCTGTCTCCATTTCTCGGCGTAATGTGTTCTTTGATCTTCCACTCCTCCTTTGGTTTTGAGGATTCTAAGTGAGGGCTTGCACTGTGACTCAGTTGGGTGCTTCCTCAATGTGTGTCCTATCCCATTCCAGCACTTCTTTCTGTTTTCTTCCTCCAATGGAACATGGTTTTTTCTCTACCACGGTCGGTTGTTGCTGATAGCGTCTGGCCAACTGATATGAAGCATTTTGCGTAGACCATTGCGAATAAACACTTTTGTCTTCTGGATGATGGCTTTCCTAATTCTCCAAGTTTCCACCCCATACAGTAGAACTGTTTTGACATTTGTATTAAAAATTCTGACTTTGGTGTTGGTTGACAGTTGTTTTGATTTCCAGATTCTCTTCAATTGTAGATATGCTACTCTTGCTTTGCCAAGCCCTTCTGGGACTGCTGCTGGTCTGAAGTTCGGATAAAGGAAGAGGTTTGGGGATGAGGTTGGCGACCTCATCCCGTAGAAAACTAACTCGCTAAAAAAGATGCTAACCAGAAAAATAATACGCTATCTATAAATTAATGTAAATAAAAGATTATTGAATCGCTTCAATTAAAATCCTATGCAATTCCTAAGAGTATAATCATTAAGTATATCAAAAGAACAAGTTATTTGTAATGTCATCATCAAAGAAAATAGGGTTTGTTTATTTACAATTAGTATAACATAGCAAAGGAAAATTAAGTTTTAGTTATCGATTAAACATATAGGTGTTTCAATTGTTATGTAGATAATGAGAATAATTCCTTTTGATGAAAATAATTAAACTTGGTTTACTCTAGTGAAATGCGATGACTGGTATTTTAGATAATAATGAAACAGCTGTACTTTCATTTAAGTTACTTTTTTGAAATTCTGATTATGTTTTTTTACAACTTAGATGAACAGAAAACGATTAATCAAAAATAACTAAGTTGTTCAATTGTTTACCTAATTATTTAAAGTACATCAAACCTTATGTTTAAAAGGTATATTCGGACCTAAATTACATTCCAAATTTGTTTAGTAAAAACGAAAATTATTCCACAGATTTATAATCATCAGAATACTCAGGTTGACGGGTTTTTAGTTTCAACTAAGTTAAACAGATGAAGAAGAAATTGGGAATCATTAGGTATACAGAATAACTAATAAGCAGCATAAAACAAATATGAAATAATAATATAAGTCATTCAGGATGCAACGTATAATCTATTCGCTCATACTAGCAAGCTAATCAAACTTACCGTTTTACAATTTGACACGATTTAGAAAGAACAGTGAATAAGAATGTAATCATTTAACAGACTGAAAAATATATGAATCTGATATCAATCGGTTTCATGAGCAATAGGTATAGCTGTACTTCATTGAAATGTTATCTCCATAGCAGAAAATTAAACAATACTGCTAACCTTCATAATACAGTTTATGTAATTAATCTTGAATCGTGATAAGTCGTTGTTTCATTTTATCGCAAATTATGACTAACTACATACAATGTTAAGATGGTAATCTATATGATCGAAAAAATCATTTAAAACTATCAGTGTTTAACATACGATCAGTTAGCAAATTACTAAAAGTTCGACACCAGGAATTCATTGTAAACGATCATCAAAGAACTATGAAATATTGGAGAGGACCGCACAACGATCTTCACAAACCCCCTATACTGATGGTAAATATGTGGGATTAATTTCAAGAAATAATCTAATTTGTATGGTAAAGCTATGACAGGTGAAGTTCGGCCATTCAGAGAATAAAAAAAAATAATAATATTAGCTACTGATGATGATCGAATATTAACGAAAATTAGAAGTTAAATATGTAAACCAGTAGATATCAAATCAGTAGTCAAATGATCATGCACTAGCCACTAAACTTGAAAATTCTTATACCAATTTCTGGTAAGGTTGTGCATTCGCTTTACTGAGGAGTCCTATAGTTAAATGAAACATCTCTTCAGTGCCTGCTGATTTCCTTTAATTCTCTACACAAACTTAATCCATAATGGATACGTATTATCAACCAGATAGAATATATCGTTTGAAATAAGGTATATTTGTATCATTAGGGGATAAACACATAAATCACTTGCATACAAATTGTTTATAGAAATCCGGATAAAAAAAAGTAAAACTCCCTGATATTGTGCTATGCATAAAAACACAATGGAACATGGATTGTACATGTTAACTTTAAACTATTTATAAATAGGTACAAAAACTACGACTGTATTAGGTTTGATTAACTGATGGTGAAAGAAAACAATGATTACTACTAATGGTACTATTATTATTAATTATTGTAGGTACTTGTGTATTACTATTGTTATGATTTAATCGTGAACAGCCTTGCTTATTGATTGAAGAACGATTAATTATTGAATTGTAAAAATAACACAATGTAAAACTAATGCATAATAATGATAATCCAAATAAGAATATACCCAATGATGTCCACTGAGAATAATTAAAAAATCCATTAATACTCTTTGATATATATGTATTGTTCATTTGATATTTTGATTGATTTAAATAATAACCTGTATGTATACAAAATATCACTGAAGCTATTGATATACTAATTAATCCAATAACTGAAGTAAATAGGACACAATAATGATATATTCTAACACGAGTTGTTACATGTCGTTTTAATGGTTGCATACCATTTATTGATAGATTACGATTAATGGAACTTAATTCAAGCATTATACATGGATTCGGTATTAAACGATTACTCGATGTTGTCAAATTTTCATTTGTTACATTTAAAAGATATTTTGTATTATCTGTCATTATGTTGAAATTTTATTTCTTTTTTTCTCCTTCGTTTATCTTTCTCAATGATTAATTTAATTTAAAATACAAAAAACTTTAAATGTTGGTTATTGTTATCGCTTAAATAACGAAGTAAATGTTAACCTGTAACAAAATATACAATCCCGTCTATGCATTATTCTGTTTACAGATAAAAGTTAGGTTTAAACAAAACATTATGATTGGTTAAAGTGATTTATGTTATCTATTATCTGATTGGTTAATAAAATCTATTTATTTAATTGAAAATAATCTACTGATGAACAAGTAAATAAATATGAGATGTTATTTATAAATAATGGGATAATAATTTTTTTTCAGCTAAATAAAACGGCTATATTTTGTTTTTAATTAGGAAATAATAAGATAGAATTAAATAAAATCTAATCATTTAATTTACCCATTTAATACTATGTCCATGAAAGAAAATCAGTATTATTGATAGTGCTAAACAATATGAATGCATTTCATTTCATTAGGTTTACATCAGCTGCTTACAACCTAAAATATTTGAAAATCAACGTTATTACAGATATTGACAACCTTATACATTAGAGGGTGATTAAAAATGAATATATGTATCATGATGTAGCGAAGATTTCAATAGAGTTAATAAAGTTATAATCTATTTTCAGTTGCTTCATTACACAATCATTTAATGTTTGTTAACTCTTAAAGTTCTAATTGCTATATCAATATTCTGGAACTTTCCTTCTTAAACTTTATTTGTCCGAAACAGATTTTTTTTACGACCTTATTAACTCTTGAAATCTTTACTAAATCATGATACATATATTCATCTTTAATCACCTTGGCATACAAAAACATGTCAATATCAGTTATAAAGTTGATTTTCAAATATTTTAAGTTGTAAGCAGCTGATGAGAACTTAACAAAATAAAATGAATTCATATTGTTCTGCATCAATCTTCGTTCTTGTTCTCTTTAACACATGTTTCTAGACAAAATTAAGGTTTCATCAAAATAATAAGCTTATTTAAATGATATCAATAAGTTAATCGTAATATGAATATTATTATCACACATTTGATATTACAAATTCCTAAATATGTTCTTTATAGAACACGTGTTTATATTTTATTGTTCAACCGATACAATGCAGTCGTATATACCTGGTGAATATGCAGTTTTAACTCAGAGATGAAAATAGTGTAGAAAAAATAAGTGGAATAAGTAGTTTCGTAATACGATTTGTTTGACCATGAGACTACGTCATCTCTCAAAACTGATTCTCTTTGTATACTTGATACGTTGATTAATAGAAAGTAGACACTGTTTTGTAACTTGTGTACTTGAAACAGGTTTTCATACAGCATAAGCTATATACAAAACATAATGTAGTGATATTTACCTAGGATAAGAAATTTATACTTCTAGGATATTAAGTCGATTACATATTTTTGAGGGATGTACACATTATACCCTTATTTTAATCACAGATGTTTTTATAAGATTTTGTCCAATACTCAGCGGCTTTTGTTTAAGACGTTTCACTTTCATTCTTGTTAGTATTTATCTGAATACTATTTTTAAGAGTATAATTTTGACAAAGAAATACCTGGTTTTGTAAGCAGGGAACAGTTATGGTTAGTTTCTGTTAATACTTTAACTCAAAAGCAAATGAAATGAACCAACTTACGAAACATTTTACTTCCTAACAGATTATTTTGTGATAATACTGACTAAAGGCTGAAACTTGTGTATCATTGATAAACTACATTATATTTGAAGGCAAAATTTCGATCTTACCAAAAAATGTAATTTCAATTTATCATATCATTTGAAACAGAACTTCAAGTTCACTCTTTTCTACTAACTTATACTTAATTGATTCGTCTAAATAAGAGTGAAATCTTGTTCATCATACCCGATTTCATCCGTAGTCGGACAAGAATTTCAGGATCTCTTTTGGACTGAAGGAATATTATGTCACCATTATAATACAGAAATATTATGCATTTATGAATTTTGCTCAATCACCGATTACTCAAACCATGTAGTGTATAATATCTTCTAATAACAGACTTGTTATATCTTGTGGACTGCAGATTAGACGGCAGCAAATTATCGATCGGACCAAAGACGCGTAAAACACGTAAGAACAACCTAGAGTCCTGATTGGCCCTGCTTCCCTGTCTAGCCCAGCCAGTTGAGTCCAGAATACAAGTCTCTGCCTCTGCGATATGAATCGTTATATTTCAAGCATACTCTGTTTATATACCAATCAAGCAGACCACATCGTACCATAAAATAGAAAATAACATTTGACACGTGAAATAAGTATTGACCAGTAGGAAAATGACACGTGAAATAAATATTGACCAATAGGAAAATGATACAATCTCAAGTCCAAGAATAGCATTAGACTTAATAGAATAATTTTTGGGATATTTTCCTGAATATCCCAACAAGACTATCAGTTTAGGGTTGTAGAGTTTGTTGAGTTTTGATTAGGATATTCTTTGGATGCCGGACCAGTGGTCTGGAGGTTAATTGTTCGCTCACAAGACCAATGGTCCTGGGTCCAAATTCTTCATCCTGGACCGTGGATGAGAACTGTTGAAGAGTTTCATACCAAGACGAAATGGCAGTCCAGTACTTTCAGGTTTTCACTAGTGATCTGTCATTGATCCATTCATGATCTCAACCAAAATAATAAACTGTTGAGTAAGTTGCAGTAGACTTTTATGTGAGTATAATGAATTCATACTACTAAGTTAGCATCCACTAGTCATTTATTCGGCTTTGATTGTTAACTCGTATGACAAGTATAGCTCTGTATTTTATTAAAATATAACAGAGATGCATGTATCTATATGCATATAACTACATAAAAATTTTCCAGGATCAATTGTATAACAAAATGCGTAACTTGATTAATCAGTGAATACATAAAATACATTTGCTTTTAGTCAATCATTTATTATAATTGGTTAATCGGAAACATATCATTAAGGAAATTAATTAGAATCAGAAAATTTATCGAAGTATAATCATGAATTAAAACTCACTTTAACACAATATAAATTAGACTTTATTTATTGTGGAAATAGATTGATCAGAGAATTTTCCGAGTTAAAGAAGTTAAATAACTGATATATCTATAATAACTTACCTAGGGAATATATACTCTGTGACGAACATGTTGTTCGAGTTAACCTAGTGACTAACCAGCATTCATAACATGTCTCTATTTTGGAAATTTCTACAGTTTTTCAGATTTTCTTTTTGTTACTGTTGTTGTTTTGTTTGTTTTTTTGTAAAAAAAACTTGTTAAACTACCTTGTGCTGAGAATCCTATATTGTACCAAAATATAATATTGAATAGAACCATTAATAATAATAATAATAATATATTTACTACTTTCCTTCATTAGTTAATTCAGAACTTATGTAGTAAATAATTTTGTCATAGACTATCTTTAAGAGTAATATATTATTTAATCTTATGTATAACCTAAAATCTATCCATGTGATATAATTAAAAGACATGAATGATTATCTTGAACATCTTCAAATCAGATACTGTCAGAGAGTTTACATCTTAAACACTGTAATAATATCTATAACTATTGTTTTTCCCATAAATTGCATAACAGTTATACTTTTGATTATTTAATAACCTTACCGTTAAACGTTGCTAAGCATAAATTTATATACAATTTATTTAGATGGTATTATTAAATTAGTATTTAGGAATAAATCAATTGAAAGTCATTATTGACGTCATTAAAATGGAAGAATATAAAATATTACATTCCAGTCTATCATACCCATTCACTTTTTTTATTATAAATGTAAATTTACGAGAACGACGACATATTTATATTTCATTATTAAATATAATTAGGCATAAACCCATGTATAGTTTACTGATTTCAAATGGTTAAACATAACATTGGTGTTTATAAGTGAAGATATAAGTAAAAAATAAGTCTCAGCAAAGTTTCGTAGAAATAATGGTTCAATTATTGTTTTTTGTTTCATCCTGTCAGTTGTCAAAGTGGATAACACATGGATGATCATTTATGCAAAAATTGGTTTAGTCTATTAAAAAAAATAAAATATAGAGTGTTTCATAAAGTTTTGTAAACGGTATGACGTTATAGCAACTATCCTACAATCAATTTTGATTATGGTTAATTTTAGTCAAGCCCATTTATTAACTTATTTGACAGACCATGTTATCTGAATAGTAACAATTAGCATATTTCTCTGTACCATTATAATCACTAGAGTTTATGACAGACTCTAGCTAAAATGTTGATTGCTTAATTATCACTCGATGATTCATCCTCATCCCCATGTGTATATGTACTCAAATCCTATTATTAGTCCTTGCTTTGTTTTGCTAAACTCTTATGCAATTTGACTGAAAATTTGCCTATGTAATTGCTCGTATGTACTTATTCACCTCTCCGCTTCCGATTCGATCGATATGCTTATAGCTTTGTGATCTGCGCTATCCCTTAATAAACTGTAGTTGCCGCTTCTGTTTGCCCTTCTGACTTCAAACACCATTGAGATTTATATAAGAACGGTTACGAGGGTGATTGGTTAACGAAGCAAAGCCACTACAACGTCTTTTATCCATTAGTGATAATCTACACAAGGTTCATACAGAAATATCTAAAAGAAAAATACTTGTGTTGTAGTTTACCGCTAAAGACTAAACAGCTATTTAGGGATAGTATATCTTCATGGAATTGTGGTAATTTAGATAGTAGATACAATAAAACAATAATGTGGATTAATGAATAAATAGAATGTGACAAGTAGTCGAACCTGTGGAGATAGGCCTGACAACCTTATTTTGTAAATAGTTTTCAATGTTATTTGTATTTATTTTGTCAACATTTCACTGTATGTATATTTAACATTAAATGACTGTGACTGTTGTTTTAGTAAATGATCTTGAACACACTTTCCGTTGTGATTCTAACGTGACATTTTCCTGCTGGCTAACAAATACATTACTACTCACACATCCCTCGTTCTATTTTCGTTTGTGATTGAACTGTAATTGGAATAAATCACATTCTACGTGGGATTATATCACTAGAGAGTTCGCCAACCTGCTCGGAATCACCAAGCA